TGTGTTGTCCTTGGCTCTAAAACCAGTGATGTTACCCTGTTCTGGATTCCCGCTCTCCAACACTCTTTTGTACATATCCATGGGATTTTCAAAGTTATGTTTGTTTACTCCTTTACAGCTTATTTTTGACTGTGTCGTTTTGGCGTCATAAACGCAGTAAGTCTTGGAACATAAAGCAGCTATCTGTGTACCCTGAAAGTAACGATGTTGTCGATTTTGATAAATTGATGGAATCGACTCAAATTTTGACAAATTTTAACTAAATCAACAGGGTGACCTATACCTGAAACTCAAGTTTGTAAAGCCCACATTGACGCCTGTCGAAAGCTTTGTTCTCTGGAGTATCATCCCGTGGGAACCATTGGTGTTTCACCCTTTTGTATTCCTCTAACATGGATGGGCGAATGACTTCCTCCAGGGAAGGTTTACTGCATGCAAAGTAGGCAGAGTCTGTGTACAGAAATCAAACACACATCAAGCTCTATTCAAAGTAGATCATTATAGTACAATTAAATGATAACGAGCATTAGACTCATTTCACTCACCAGTATCCATTTCTACTAGTTCATAGTCTTCTCGACTGACGAATTTATCCAGGAAGTCGAAATGAAAGCTGAGCATTTTTAACTTCGCATACTGTAGTATGAAAAAGCCAACTTGATTCGGGAGATCTAGCTTGATCACTCGCTTAGCCATTTCAAGCTCGTAGAATGCTTCATCGATTTCATCTAATTTCCTGAAGCGTCGATCATTGACCTTCATGCGAGCCTGGTGTTCATCAAAGAAAAACTTCACTAAACGATGCTTTAGTTTATCCAGTATCATTCCACCATAAGCTCTAAAAGAAGATATCAGAATAATGGTTAGACATATTTCAACAAGAGAAATATAAATGAATGATAGCCACTAAACGAAATACTCACGAATTTCCTAGCAGTTTCATGGTGTTGCCAAACAGTTCCAAAGCTTTGTCTAAATCCCCGAGTCGTCTAGCATTACTGACAGCCTCCACAAATTCTGAAAAGCACCGAGCGGGACTGAACTCCACCACAGTGTATATTTTAGTGATTTCCAAATTGTGCTGTAAGTACCACTTCAACAATGGGGTAGACAAAAGAATTTTCTCAGCTCGCAAACCACCCACCAGTAGACGTCTAGGTTTGGTAGAAAGTCCCCTGTCTTTTATGAACTGTTTCATATGTTCCCCAATGGCATCCATGGAAACGTCGGTAGTGCAAAATATAGGTGACATCTCAGAAAATTTATCATAATCTTCTGGTCTTACACTGATGTCAACTTCGACGGCTCCGAAAAGCTGATCATTTAGTATTGCTTGCTTTATTTGGTTCTCATTCATAGTGGTATGTCTATCGCAGGGACGTTGGTATTTTTTCATGAACTCAGCGAGATTTTTATCCAGAGCTTTCATTTTATCAAACTCACATTCGTACATCAATGTGACCTCATATCCAGCATCTTCTAGATATTTCGTACGCTTGGCATCATTCTCTCTTTTTACGGTTGCCTCCTTTTGCCATTTTTCATTCCATAGATACTTGTCATTCATATGACAATCGTGTTTGTGAAAATAGCATCCCATAAATTCCCAAACACGTTTTCCGTAGATACCATCCACTAAATACGGCCCGATGCGTCTCTGACCTCCGTTCAATTTATGCTGAATCGGAAATCCAAGCATTTCACTGGTGTATTCTAGGTAATGAACCTCACTCATATAGGGGTCCTGCTTTTCCCTGCGAAATTCTGTATCGGCTCGCCTTACGCTGAAAGGACCGGTTGGCATCGATTGTGCTATGCAATAGAGGTAGAGTGCATTTGCGTCATACCCCAGTACAGACTGACACGTGTTTGGTCCGTTGCGTATTTTTGTAACGCCCGCTTCGTGATACCGCTTGAAGATGATACTTGGTCCACCCACTATGTTTCGAGCGAATAGAGAGTGGATGTCTTTGAAGCTTTCGTTGAAGAGACTGAAGTGACTATCGTCATCTTTCAAGTTCATCAACAGCTTTCTGGCTACACCAGGCGCACTAATTGATTCTTTGAATAAGTCAATGTTCTTGGATCTGTAGAACTTCATCATGTTTTCAACCGCTTGTACAAATGGTTGGACGTCAACATTATTATAGTGTGCCAGAAAATCTCTGAAGCAGGTCATGTTTTCCCGTTCCCATAAACTTAAGAGATCCTCGTAGTTTTGGTGACCAGTTTTAGGAATCTCTTTCAAGCTCATTTCACGCAGTGCTTGTTCTCTAGAGGTTCCATTATCTAACAACTTTTGGTATTTGCTATATTCTACTTCCAAAACATTATGTTTCTTCAATTGAGAGTAGAATGCTTCATACGGTGGGAGATGATTGAGGTCCAATTTTGAGACATCATCAAACCATTCATACGGAAAAAAGCTTTTCCGTACTTCAGCTTGATAAGCTTGCAGGAATGAATCGTATGAAGTTCCCGGCATGGCATAGTTGATGACATCCAATAGTTTAAATTCTTCAGTGGCTATACAACTGTAGGCATTGCCTTTTTTTATTACGAACGATGAAGATTCCATTTCTCCATCCAACAGATGCTTCACGAAGCCTTTTTTCGTTAAAGTGAGATCGTAGCGCGAAGAGTTGTATCCCAATAATGGAATTTGTGAAATGTATTCTCTTAAGGTCGTTTGTACTTTTTCCAATTGTTCTACCCTCTCATCACTGTCGCTTTTATCGAGTTCAGCATCTAGTTGCTCAAGTATACCCCGAAAATTCTGATTGGTTATCTCAGCTGCTCTGCTTTGTATCCTGCGTATATATTCAAACATCATATCAAGCAAATTGTCCAAATTTGGATCTATGAAACATTGAGGCTCTAGAAAGTCTGGAACATTACTACACACGGACACGGAAATAGGTTTATGCTCAGCCAACCACTGTAGTTGTTTCCCCGTGTCAGGTTCCGCACAACCAAAGAGCATAGCTTCAAAGTCGTAGGTAATGATGAATGGATAGTACCTTAGATTTTGGGGAACAACTATTTCATATTCTTCCATTTTCTCGAAAATAGTCTGTTGCAATTTGTAATAGCCTCCCGGATACTTGTATGTAGTAGCTGAAGTGCAGGTTCTAGCATGCCTCTTGAGTCTAGAGCTTTTTGGAAATAATTTGTCGCAGTTATCACATCTGAATTTCTTCGAATATAACGATATGTTTTTAATATAGCTCAAGTGGTTTTTGTACAAATTCAAATTCATGATGCTATTGTATTTGCATGTGCTTTTGTAAACCCACTTGACCTGTCCATCTTCAAGAAGGTTGTAAATGTTTACATTCGTTTCAAATGTATCTTCAAAGAGTGGTATCTCTTCTTGCAGGTACACCCCATTTTCGTTTTCATTCCCTGTGACTTGTTTCCATTTTTCAACTAGAGGACGACATGTGGATCTTATTGACATCAAATTTTTACACCTGTGATAGGCTAAACACCTGAAGGCGCAAAGTTCATCCTGGTATGGTACTCCTTTGTTCTTATCTTTTGTCAGTGTAATGATTGCTGGGTTGTTCTTTACGTAATCTGGTAGTTCAATAGATGCGCCTAGGGCGAAATCGAATGGATTCACTACCCAGCGTGTCATGACTAATCGATAAGGAAGCCATGTGGTGTCTGGTCGAGCTCGCCTGACCAGTTCTTCAAAATCTACAGCACTCAGGCGCTCCAACAATGCATCTAGATCTTCCCTACTTGAAATTAGTGATGGGTTTTCCAACACCGCTTCGTTATTGTGAGGGTAGAAAAATCTCATTTCTCCAGTTTCTCTATGACTTATGATCAGTCCTAAACTCAGTTGTATTTTAAAGACTTGCTTTTCAGCGTCATATATTTCATCAAGTTGCTGTCTTATTTCTTCAATTGTGAGTTGTCCAGTTGGTAGATGAAAGTTATATTCGTGAGACATAACAGTTCGTCTGTGTGGGGCGTATATGATTCGACTATACCTGTTGTATATATCTCTCAAACCTTCATCCACAGTTCCGTCTTGATTTTCATAAGGCGGGCGAGTATTGTCATTATCTCCAAAACCAATTTGATTTTCAACTGCAATCGACTGACTTTCACCCTGTCTAACTGATTCGAAACTGTCATTGTTGTCATCTTCAATCCCTGCTATATGTAAAATTTCATTTACCTGCCTTTGAACAGTAGCTGGGCTCGGAGGATCTCGCATCATTTCATCTGACAATAGGTCAAGTAGTCTGAAGTCTTCCACTGTGAGTGTTTCTGATTCCATTGGTATACTTTGCGTGGATGTTGAGGGTTGAGGATTGTGAATGGTGCTCTGCGCACTAGTTGAATGTATTTTTTAAAGTGATCTCTCAACGTAGAGCGTCTTGAATAACTTTGTCCACAAGTTGAGCAAATAAATCTCTTATTACCATGAACGGTTTGTTCGTGTCTATTTCTGTTTGAAAGTGTCGTATATGCTTTACTACAAAACCTGCATTGAAACATTTTTGCATCCATTATTGATGTCAGATCAAGTTGATGAAAAAATGACCTGCTCCCCTGCCTTATATACACCTCTGTCAGCTGCTTATCTGTAGGGGCTATACATTATCTTATCTTATCTCAGTTTAATCGAGCTTCTTATCTCTAGGAGGCTACAAATTATCAGATAGTGAATGGCACTGGATGGTACTTATCTATATGTTACATATCAGTACTTTACTTATCTTATCTGGATCCACCATCTGAATACACTGTTATCAGAATACACTGTTATCACTGTTATCATTATCTTATCGCTCTGTTATCTTATCTCTGTTATCTCTGTTGGATCCTTGCTGCTGGATTAGAACGGATTATACTACTGCTGTATTGTCTGCAATATTGTGAAGTGCGGTAATCATTTTGATACTGTGTAATCAAATCACAAATTACATAACCACAGTGATAACGTAGTATGGTTTATGTTTTTATTTTCCCAATATTTGATAAAGTGTTCGTTGTACATTATGTTTCTAAATTATGAAACAACAGCATTATACAATTATATTAACCAAGACACCCAAGTTGGAAAAATATAGCCACCTATTATACTTTTTAAAATACAGGCAAACAAAAAAATGGATAGATACATCATGGGATACATGTAATAGCATGGGCCATATAAGCTTTTTGGGAATTTGGGAATACCAGGTAAGCAAGAATATAACTGTTTATTACTAATAATGGAGAATGTTCTATGTTCAGTACGATTACGAATCTTAAAAGTCTGCTTTGCAACACTGATAATCTTCGAATTCATATTTTTATTGAACTTTCCCGTTGCGAAGGATACTCTTTTGCGTTTAGGTAATATCAAGGCACTAAGAAAAAGTGAAATGCCTTCGACTGATAGCAAGATTTCTCGCAATGACAGAAGTAATACCAAAAAGGACACGAACGTTGATAGAACAATATCAGCAGACTTGAAAAGGGCAAGTGACATTTATAGAAACAACACTAACACCAACAAGGCCACGGTCATGGATAGAACAGTATCAGGAGATTTAACAGAGGCGAGTCACGTTTACAAGAACGCAACTACGCTGTGGTCTAAACATTCGGAATGTACGGGCGACGTCACTCTAGCACCAGTGGATCTCCGGATTATTTTGCTTACACAAAAAAGAACTAAATCTCTGAAGGCATGTTTAGATCATATTAATAACGCTGAATATCACGGTGAGAAGGTGGTTTTGGATATCTGGATTGACAGAGAGAAAAACACAGAAGCGCTCAATAAAGAACATTTCGAAATGGTAAAAAAATTCACTTTTAAATCGCACATCATAAAATGCGTCCATATCCAAGACAAGCATGTGGGTATATACGGGCAATGGATAGACACTTGGAATATTGGCCCGAATAATAAAGAAATCGGCGTCATACTTGAGGACGATGTTGACGTCTCGCCGTATTTTTATAAATGGCTAAAAAGTGTACATTTGAAATACCAACACAGAGAAGACGTTTCGGGAGTTGGTCTCTCAACAACTTACCCCGATCCCGTCGCGGATAGAGACTCATGTTGGGGCAGAATGAACGCTACGGGACAACGACGGAATAAATGCAATAAAGTCCGAGTCCCTTTAAAGAACAATACAGTCTACATGTATAAGATACCAACGACCTGGGGATTTAGCCCTAAATTGTCAAGTTGGAAAAAGTTTCAGACTTGGTACCATGACATAAGGCGATCTAACAAAACCTTTAGACCCATCATTGACGCCAAAATAATCCACAACACGTGGTATAACTAGAGATCTAACGATCTAAGATTGCAAGCAATCTTACGGAGGCCCTATATTCGTTTCTGAACATTCAAAGGCCAGCCAAAGGTCAAATCTCTAATACAAGGTCATATATGAACTCCAGACAACTTGTAGATGATTTTTAAAAAAGGTTTGGTCGAATTAATGCAAGTTGAAATTTGACCTTGAAAAATTCCGAAATTTGACCTTTTTTCAGTTTTTGAGCTATAATATCTCAAAACTGGAGCCAAATTTTAATAGATAATCAATTGCTAATATGTGAAGAACCTTTAGTAGAGGAATATATATTCTGACTTTCATTTAAAAATATTGATTTGTAGTCTCCAATTTTGAGAAACTTAAAAAACACAATTTGTGATTTCGTTTGATGACCTTGACCTTTGACCTTGCAAATTTTACTTTTTTTAGACCTCAGAAGGTCTTTTGTGAATAAATATACCTAAATTTGAATCCAGAAAATCGATTTGAAAAATCAACTTTTTTGACCTTTCGGAGGTCACTGAAGGTCAACCAAAGGTCAAAGGTCAAAAGTAAGGTTAGATTTGGAATCCTGAGAACTTGTAGATGAGTTTTAAAAAAAAATTGGTCAATTTGAAGCAAGTTGAAATTTAGTCTTGAAAAGTTTCGAAATTTGACCTTTTTTCAGTTTTTGAGTTCCCATATCTCAAAACTGGTACATAATTTTAATAAATAGTCAATTGCTAATATGTGTAGAACCTATAGAGGAATATATATCCTGACTTTCATGAAAAAATATTGATTTGTAGTCTCCAATTTTGAGAAACTTAGAAAACACAGTTTGTGATTTAGTTTGATGACCTTGACCTTTGACCTTGCAAATTTTACTTTTTTAGACCTCAATGGGTCCTTTGTGATCAAATATACCTAAATTTGAATCCAGAAAATCAATTTGAAAAAACAACTTTTTTTACCTTTCGAAGGTCACTGAAGGTCAACCAAAGGTCGGAGGTCAAAAGTAAGGACATATTTGAGTTCCTGAGATCTTGTAGATGATTTTTAAAAAAAAATCTGGTTCATTTGAAGCAAGTTGAAAAATGACCGATTTTTGCCGATTTTTGACGTCAAATATCTCAAAAACGGTAAAAAATTAACGCGTACATATAGTGAGCAATTTGTAGAGAATGCTTATATCTAGTTACATTTTAATTCATCGCAAGAAATAATGAAGTATGAGGACGAAATCTGAGAAACTTAAAAAAAGCTTAGATTTGACCTAGATTTTGACCTTTGACCTTGACCTAGATAAAAATTCCTTTCCCGCCAAGTTCAGCCCAGGTCCCTAGTAGGACTATGTAGTAGCTAGTTGAAAGTTAGTCGGAAGTAGGAGAAAAAGAGGGAGGAAGAATAAATAACTAGACTTTGGAAATTGAACGAAGTTCAATTTCAGACTCCAGATCTAGACTTTTTTTAGCCGAGTCATCCAGAATAAGCCGAGTCATCCAAAATAAGCTGAGTCATCCAGAAAAAGATGGATGGATGGATGGATGAAAAAGGAAGGGAGGATAGGCTAGAATAGGAAGGAACAATAGGATAGAATAGGAAAGAATGATAGAATAGAATATGAAGAAGGAATAGAATAGGAAGGATAGAAAGGAGAGGATATGAAGGAAAGGTAGAAAAGAAGGATACGATAGTTTCACAAAGGAAGGATGGATGCAATTTTCAATATTTTCTTCTCTACTCTTGACTTTCTATCAGGATACCATCAGATCGATTTTTCTCGAAATTTCAAAACGCCAGAACTTTCGAATCGGAAGTCGGATCAAAATTTGGTTTGCAGACTCGAATTCCTGAGAAAATTCTACCCTTAATTCATAACTCATATGTTAAATTTGGAGAACTTTTTATTTTGACCTACTTTTCGGACACCATATCTCAAAAGTGGGTCGAAATACTTTCTGACGGCAAAAGGCTAACACTATTAGCACACTCTTTCGTACCTGTATACAAAATTTTGAAGCAAATTATTTAAACATAGTGTCAGAATCGCAAAAATAAGGAAAAACTATGAATTTGACCTAGATTTTGACCTATGGATTTTGGTGTTCAAATTTTGAAGTTAGGTAGCCTTCGAGGTCCCCTTCTTTCATAGGCTTTCATTATTTTAATCTGTACCTAGTCTATATCTCGAATTTTACATTTCAAAAAAAAAAATTTCCCATTGACATAACATGGAACACCAAATTTAGCGATTTTTGAGCTTTCAAAATGTCATAACTTCCGAACCGGTAGTCGGATCGAAATTTGGTTTGCAGATTCGGATTCCTGAGAAAATTCTATACTTAATGCATAACTCAAACGTTAAATTTGGAGAATTTTTTATTTTGACCTACTTTTCGGACACCATATCTCAAAAGTGGGGCAAAATACTTTCTGACGGCAAAAGGCTAACACTATTAGCACACTCTTGGCTACATGTATACAAAATTTCGAAGAATATAATTAATCTGTAGTGTCAGAATCGCAAAAATAAGGAAAAACTTTGAATTTGACCTAGATTTTGACCTAGGCATTTTGGTGTCCAAATTTTTATGAAAAGAAGGTTTTGAGGTCCCTTATTTCTATGGGCTTCCATTATGTTTAGCTGTGCTTAGTCTATATCTCGTATTTTACACTTCAAAAAAATATTTTTTCCCATTGAATTAACATGGGGCACCAAATTTAGCGATTTTTGAATTTTCAAAACGCCATTACTTCTGAACCGGAAGTCAGATCGAAATTTGGTTTTCAGATTCGGAATCCTGAGAAAATTTCCTATAAGACTGATATCCTGGACATTGGATTCGGAGAACCTTTTTTTGGACCTCGTTTTCGGACACTGATATCTCGAAATCGGTTTGAGATACCAAAAAACTAAATCGACCCTAGATTTTCTACTTTTTTATGAGGAACACAATGAAAAAAACCCGGATCCAAAATATTGAAGGACGACCGAGAAAATCGAAAAAAGTGACAAAGTACTGGATTTGACCTAGTTCTTGACCTTTGACCTAGATAAAAAATTGACCCAATTTCCCACCAACTAGATACTGAACCTAAATGAACTGTATAATGGTCTTTACTGGATACCTTATAGTTATTGAAAAAACTCTTAAAGAAAAATAATAACTAGACTTTGGAAATTGAACGAAGTTCAATTTCAGACTCCAGATCTAGACCTTTTTTAGCCGAGTCATCCAGAATAAGCCAAGTCATCCAGAATAAGCTGAGTCATCCAGAAAAAGATGGATGGATAAAATAGGAAGGAAGGATAGGATAGAATAGGAAAGAACGATATGATAGAATAAGAAAGAGGGATAGGATAGAACAGATTAGGAAGAAAGGATATGATAGGAGAGGATAGGTACGAAACGGAAGGAAAAGATCCGAAGGAAGGATAGATAGGAAGGATAGGATAGGATAAGATCAGATAGGAAGGATGGATGAATTTTTAAATATTTTCTTCTCTACTCTTGACTTTCTATCAGGATACCATCAGATCGATTTTCCGAAATTTCAAGACGCCATAACTTCCGAACCGTAAGTCGAATCGAAATTTGACTTAAAGATTTGGATTCCTGACAAAATTCTACCCCTAATTCATAACTCATACGTTAAATTTGGCGAATTTTTATTTTGACCTACTTTTCGGACATGCCATAACTTCGGAACCGGAAGTCAGATCGAAATTTGGTTTGCAGATTCGGATTCCTGATAAAAATCTACCCCTAATTCATAACTCATACGTTAAATTTGGCAATTTTTTATTTTGACCTACTTTTCGGACACCCCATAACTTCGGAACCGGAGGTCGAATTGAAATTTGGTTAGCAGATTCGGATTCCTGAGAAAATTCTACACTTAATTCATAACTCAAACGTCAAATTTGTAGAACTTTTTATTTTGACCTACATTTCGGACACCATATCTCAAAAGTAGGTCAAAATACTTTCTGACGGCAAAAGGCTAACACTATTAGCACACTCTTGGCTACATGTATACACAATTTCGAAGAATATAATTGAAGTGTAGTGTCAGAATCGCAAAAATAAGGAAAACCTTTGAATTTGACCTAGATTTTGACCTAGGCATTTTGGTGTCCAAATTTTGGAGCAAGATGGCTTTTTAGGTCCCCTTCTTTTGAAGGCTTTCATTAAATTAAGCTGAACTCAGTCTATATTTCGAATTTTTCACTTCAAAAAAATCTTTTTTCCCATTGACTTAACATGGGCACCAAATTTAGCGATTTTTGAGCATTTAAAACGCCATAACTTCCGAACTGGAAGTCGGATCGAAATTTGGTTTGCAGATTCGGATTCCTGACAAAATTCTACCCCTAATTCATAACTCATACATTGAATTTGGAGCACGTTTTGGTGTGACCTACTTTCCGGACGCCATATTTCAAAATCGGTAAGAGTAATCAAAAAACGGATGGCACACTTATGAAAGGACTGTTTCTAAGCTACATGATGAAAAAAAGACGAAGACATTTCGAGAAATAACGACGAAGATAATAGACAGAAGGTTGAAAATGTAAGATTTGACCTAGTTCTTGACCTTTGACCTAGATAAAAATTTGACCCAATTTCCCACCAACTAGATACTGAACCTAAATAGACTGTATTATGATCTTTACTGGATACCTTATAGTTATTGAAAAAACTCTTAAAGAAAAATAATAATAATAACTAGACTTTGGAAATTGAACGAAGTTCAATTTCAGACTCCAGATCTAGACTTTTTTTTAGCCCAGTCAAACAGAATAAGCCGAGTCATCCAGAATAAGCTGAGTCATCAAAATAAGCTGAGTCATCCAGAAAAAGATGGATGGGTGGATGGAATAAGCCTAGTCATCCAGAATAAGCCTAGTCATCCAGAATAAGCCGAGTCATCCAGAATAAGATGGATCGATAAAATAGGAAGGTAGGATGGGACAGAATAGGAAGGAACGATAGGATAGAATAAGAAAGAAGGATAGGATAGAACAGAATAGGAAGAAAGGATATGATAGGAGAGGAAAGGAAGGATAGGAAGGAAAAGATACAAAGGAAGGATAGAAAGGAAGGATAGGATAAGATCAGATAGGAAGTATGGATGAATTTTTCAACATTTTCTTCTCTACTCTTGACTTTCTATCAGGATACCATCAGATCGATTTTCCGAAATTTCAAAACGCCATAACTTCCGAACCGGAAGTCGGATCGAAATTTGATTTAAAGATTCGGATTCCTGAAAAAATTCTACCCCTAATTCATAACTCATACGTTAAATTTGGCGAATTTTTATTTTGACCTACTTTTTGGACACGCCATAATTTCGGAACCGGAAGTCGGATCGAAATTTGGTTTGCAGATTCGGATTCCTTAGAAAATTCTATCCTTAATTCATAACTCATACGTTGAATTTGGAGAACTTTTTATTTTGACCTACTTTTCGGACACCATATCTCAAAAGTGGATCAAAATACTTTCTGACGGCAAAAGGCTAACACTATTAGCACACTCTTGGCTACATGTATACACAATTTCAAAGAATATTATTGAAGTGTAGTGTCAGAATTGCAAAAATAAGGAAAACCTTTGAATTTGACCTAGATTTTGACCTAGGCATGTTGGTGTCCAAATTTTGAAGCTAGATGGCTTTTTAGGTCCCCTTCTTTTAAAAGCTTTCATTAAATTAAGCTGAACTCAGTCTATATTTCGAATTCTTCACTTCAAAAAAATCTTTTTTCCCATTGACTTAACATGGGCACCAAATTTAGCGATTTTTGAACTTTTAAAATGACATAACTTCCGAACCGGAAGTCGGATCGAAATTTGGTTTGCAGATTCAGATTCCTGACAAAATTCTTATCCTAATTCATAACTCATACCCTGAATTTGGAGAACTTTTGTTTTGACCTACTTTCTGGACGCTATATTTCAAAATCGGTAAGAGTAATTTAAAAAAAACAGGGACACTTATGAAAGGGCTTTTTCTAAGCTACATGATGAAAAAAAGACGAAGACGTTTCGATAAATAACGACGAAGATAATTGATAGAATGTTGAAAATGTAAGATTTGACCTAGTTCTTGACCTTTGACCTAGATAAAAAATTGACCCAATTTCCGAGAAACTAGATACTGGACCTAAATTGAACATATACAGGACTTGACTCAATGTCTTCTAGTTAAGGAGAAAACGTTGGTAGAAGAATAATAATAATAAAGAAGAATACTGGCAAAAACAATAGACTCCAGATTGACATCTGGAGTCTAATAATAAGAAGAAGAATACTGGCAAAAACAATAGACTCCAGATTTTCAATCTGGAGTCTAATAAGAAGAAGAAGAAGAAGAAGAAGAATACTGGCAAAAACAATAGACTCCAGATTGACATCTGGAGTC